GAGCGGCTCCGGCTGCTGCCGCTCCGGTACAAACCCAGAGAGCTCCGACTCAGCCCCGGCATCAGTTTGCGCCCGTCCAGCCCGCCGCGGTGCCTCCGCCCGCCGCAGCGGCTCCGCCCGCTGCCTCCGCCCCGGCACAGCCGCAGTACTACCAGCCAGTATGTTCCTCTGACTTCCACACGTGCTTTCATCTCCTTCTGCAGATGTTTCCTTCCATTAACCAGCATCTACAGGTCACGCTCCGCCCATTGGGTTCCCACATCGTGGTCTTGTGAAAACATACAGGAAGCGGCTGGTTAGAATAACAAGGCGTCTCTTTAAAAACCTCCAGCGTTTCCAGCCAGTCGCCGGTGACGGACTCTTTCTGCTGCACATCTTCATCGGATGTGTCGGAAACTTGTCGTGGATGTAAATGTGATCAAATTTTCCCCCTCTCATACGGTGAAACCACCTCGCTGCTGTTGTGTCCGTCCCCTCCGGCTCGGGTTCAAATCACACGCTGATTCCTCATTGAATTGTTCCCGAACGACGGGATGTGAAGCGGCTGCATGCCCGGAAAAATCTCACTACCCAAACGTTTGTGTATTTTGAACCCTGGCTCTGGTCCCACGTGTGTGTGTGTGCATTGCGGTGTATTTGGTACCCCCCCCCCCTCCCCTATGCGGCGGCCATCATTGGTTTGTGCCGTGTGTCTCTATGTGCTTCAGGTGAGGGCTGCGTCCACTGTCACCTCCTGGAGTAACCAGACTCCCACAGCCCTCCCCAATGTCCCTCCTCCTCTTCAAGGAGGCAGAGCCTCAGAGCAGCAGGTACACTGACCGCCCACCCAGACCCACGCACGCACGCACGCACGCACGCACGCACGCACGCCGCCTTTAGCCACGGGCGTCTCCGTTGATGGGATCAGTCACAGGTGGCGTCCTCTGTGGCTGCGACGCTTCCTGTTGATTCTCTTTTTACTCTTAGTCTCGTTCTGGATACGCTGCTTACTCGTCCCTTTGACCCCCTCGCTCGCTTATATCTTCTGCGCAAAGGATTGTGGGTAATAAAAGCATGCTGAGTTCCACGCTGCAGACCTCCTCGATGTGTGGTGCAGACGGTTAATACCAGTTCTCTGTATTTGTGTGTGTTTTTTTTAAAGGCGGAGCCTCCAAACTCTGCGTACGGGATGATGGCGCCCTCCTGCACAGCCGCCGCACCTCCTGCCTCCTCCACCCCTGCGTACATGTACTCCCACCAGTACCAGCGTAAGTGGACAATCTTCAATATGGGAAGAAAACCTTAAGCAACTTTGTCTCCTTAAAGTGTGCGAGTGTGTGTATAAAGAAAGAAAAGTTAAACTTAAAGACTTGTCTGTGAACTAGCACACAAAGACGCAACCTTTTTTGTTTTATCCTTCTTCTGCGCTCCGTCACTAACAGAAGACGAGAACGAATAACTTGAGTTTGTATTTTCTTCATATGAAGCTGAACTTAAATCTCCAGCATGATCTTCACTGTTCTGTGACGCTGCATGACGCCGTCAGTGTGACATGCAACGGCGACTAACGGCATGTAACCTGTGTGACCCCCAGCGTACCCCCAGGTCAGCCAGTACCCACCTGCAGCTGGGGGGGGTCCTGTCTATCAGCCTCTTCAGTACTCCTCCTCCTCCTCCTCTGCTCCTCCTCCCGCAGAGCCGCCCGGCTTTCTCTCTCAGTACACGCAGCCAACATCTCCGGTCTATCCCGGACATCCTCCCCTCAGCCAGTGCCCGTCCTCCTCCCCTCCCTCCCATCCGCCTTTCCTCCCCTCTTCCTCCTCCTCCTTCTCCTTTTCCGCTCCTCCGTCCTCCGGAGCGTCTTTCCAGCATGGCGGGCCGGGATCTCCTGTGTCCTACATGCCTCCTCCTCCACCGGTGGGATTCTCAGGTACAAAACTAAGAAAAGTGCTCACAAACTCTCGGCGGCGGCGCATTAGTTGGCCAAACGGGGGGAGGGGGGTCCCTCTGGCGCTCTCTGCCCCGCTGCTGCGAGCGCCACACGGACTTATTCAACATATTAGTGTCAGTGTGGGAAAATAACAGCAGCAAAATTATAAAAAGAAAAAATGTTTTGGGGGGAAACGCACATAAAAAAAAAATATATATATATAAAAAATATTTAAAAAAAAATTATATATATAAAAAATATTTTATTTATATATATATATATATATATATATATATATATATTAGTTTTTTTAAATCAGAACTTCCCTTTTCCCCATCATAATAGACTTCAATGCGGTGGTGTGAGAATGAGTGAAAGGACTTTATTTTGTTCCCCTTCAGGGCCTCAGAACGGCTGGAATGATCCTCCGGCCCTGAACAGAACCTCGAAGAAGAAGGTGAGTCGGCTGCAGCTCTGCGGTCTGTCGGTGTGAACGCTGCACGTTGGATACAAACACACACATATATGTAAATAATAAATAAATAAAACGGGACGTCTTTCAGCCGGCTGCGGTGAGCTACACCCCTCCGACCCCCATCACTGCTCCCATCATGGCGCCGCTGGGCGCCGCCCAGCAGGGTCCCTCTGGGGCTCCTCAGGCGATGGGCCAGGGGCCACACGGAGCCCAGGTCCCCTACTCCGGCATGCACCAACAGCACCACCAGCAGCAGCACCAACAGCACCACCAACAGCAGCAGCTCTCTCCTCCAACCATGAACCCTTCAATGCCCACGACCAGCATGGAGGGGGCACCAGGAGCTCCCACTGGAGACGTCATACAGGTACACACCTGCACATGCAGGATTAACAATTGAACATAGATGCTAGCAAAGGTCGAGAATATCACGTAGTTCCTTATTCACGTTGAGTTATCCCCGAAATCGAGGCTTTAATGAAAGTGTGGTAAAGTGGACGTAGCCTTCATCTTCTCGCCCTGGCGAACACTTCCAGCCTCTGCAGTCCATCCCCGCGGAGAAGATCATGAAGAAGCCCATCCCCGAGGAGCACCTGGTCCTGAAGAGCACGTTCGAGGGGCTCATCCAGAAGTGCTTGGCCGTGGCCACAGACCCCGTGAGTCCGCTCGCTTCGTCTCCACCTCCAGTCCGCCGCCGCCGCCGCCGCCTCGCGTTAGATGTGTGATCGTTTCTTCTTCTCCTCCTCACAGCAAACTAAGAGGAAGCTTGACGACGCCAACAAACGTCTCGAGGCGCTCTACGACAAACTCCGGGAGCAGACGGTGAGTCTCCCGCCCCGACGGAGGGGAAATAGCGAGCGTTCCTCAGTGGCAAAAAAATGCATTCAAATCATCATCATCGTCATCATCTTGATTTGCAGCGAATAAGCAATGAACCTAAACGCCGTTTTGCTCCCCGCAGCTCTCTCCCGCCATCGTGGGAGGCCTCCACAGCATCGCCCGCAGCGTGGAGTCCCGCTCCTACGCGGAGGGCCTCAACATCCACACGCACATCGTCAGCAGCAGCAACTTCAGCGAGACGTCGGCCTTCATGCCCGTCCTCAAGGTGGTGCTGACGCAGGCCAACAAACTGGGGGTGTGAGCGGCCTCCCCGGCTCGGGAGCTGCTTTCTTTATTATTATTTTTTTTCCTCTTCTTTTTGGACGAAGTATTCCGAGATGTATGAAAATCCTGTCGAGTTCTTCTCTCGTGCCATTGGCGTTCTCTGACGGCGAGCCGAGCTGTCGGTCGGCGGTGAAAGTGACTTCTGAGAACATAAAGGAACTAGAATTGAATTGAGTTGAATTAGAGCACCGCCTCAGTCCCACAGGTCACACTGATCGAATATGCAATTAATGTAATGAAGCATAATCAAATTTAAGTAATCAGAGATTCAAATTTAAAATGTGCTAAATTTAAGGAAGGCAATGCTTAAGTGTATTTGATACGCAAAGAAATGCGAATAAATATGGAATTTAGAGAACAACTTAAGTAGGAAAAGTAACAGGAGATTCAGGAATTAAAGGGTATTTCTATTTACTTGTTGAGACGATCAAAATATATAAAAGAATAACGCTCATCTCAAATCATTTGGCATTAAGCAGCAGGGCGTCGTGCAAACAGTCATTTAGAAAATGTTTTATAGTCTTTTAATGTTTGTGCACTACATCGATGCTCCGCTACCTTTTATCATCCATGATTACAGGGAATTCCTCCCTTTTTAAAAGTACAAACACATGCTTTATTGTCACATTACACAACCGGGCAGAATGTGTTTTTTATTTTTAAAACGTGGCATTATTTTAAACCAGTAGTCACACCCACAGGCAACTACAGCCGAAAGGAGGCTTTTAAAAAAGAAAAGCACCGTATGTGTCTTTTGTTGGTACTTTGTTGCCTCTTTCTGCCGTTTGCGGCTTACTTTCACCTCCGGTGTCACTCCGTACGACTCAAAGGACCACGATGTGACCGGCGTGAGGGACGATGCAAGACGCCGTGCAGACGCTTCATGTCTTATTTCAGTTTTGTATCGTTTATTTTTTTAGTGTAATCACGAGGCTCAGCAAAGTGCAATGGAGTTTTAAAAAAAAGACTGCTTTCTATGGAATATAAAGTATGCATGTTTAAACGGACGTCTTTGACGCATTGGAGGTAATTAACGGCTAATTAATCTGACCTCGGAAGCAAACAGGAAGTAGACTTGAACTTGATTTTCATTCCAACTATGATGAGGGCTGTAGTTTGTTGTTAATAAAAGGAAAACAAGTCTTTGTTTAAGATCGACTACATGCAATATTTTCAATAAATAGTATTTATTTACAACATGATGTTGCTGCGTTTTGATTACTTTTGCTTTCATAACAGTTTAAATATAATGTGCATGACACGATGTGCCAATGATCCACATGCATTAACAATCCAGTAATGTATGATTCTGAAATTCTTTTAATGCTTCTGCTTTTGTAAACAATATTTTAAATGCAGGACTTTTACTTGTAACAGATTAAGTTCACACTGTAGTGCTCGTGCTTTTACTTAAATAAATGTATTCTCACATTAGTGGCTTTTACTTTGAAGGGTAGTAGACCGGAAAACCTGCCTCTTGAATTGAAGCCGTCTCTCACTTGCTGAATGAAACGACGACATCGTTACGCCTTAAACGGCGGTTCCGTAGCGCACATTACGCAGGTGACGAGTTGGATTTACGGTGTTTACGTCCCGGGAAAAGAAACACGTGAGACCGGTGAGGCTTTTTCTACCGACACTTTGCGACAGTTATTACATGTTTACGCACCAACTAGAATGACCTGTTTCCTACCTGTGTTATAAAGGTGAGTTCTGCGGGCCCAAGTTTCATTTTGAGGGTGTTTCTAAAGTACATATTGAAAACAGCGGCTCCTTAAAGGAGGAAAGATGTTAAATACATTGTAAAAATCTTGTATGTTCTTTAAAGGAGACCAAATGTGAAATACTGATGCATAAAAACCTAATAGGTTGTGAAGCTAAAGCTGCTTTCCTGTTTATCTTGGCATGTTTCTTTAAACGAAGGATGCATGACTCTTCTTCTGTGGTGTTTAGAGGATGCAGGATGTGGACCTGCAGTCCCTGGGCTCTTCTACCTCCCATCTACTCTCTTCTCACTGCTGCTGGTCTGTGGGCCGTGTGAGTGTCACCACACACAATACGCACATCCAGAGCTTCCTATGTTTCCTGTGGGGTTCAGTTTAATCTCTTAACCGGTGTGTCAGTGTGGACGTGTTGTGCCCAGGACGCTTTGGACGGGAGTCAAACACATGAAAATTGTGTGGGTACCACAAAGAGACGTAAATGTACCACAAAGAGACGTAAATGCACCACAAGGAGACATAAAGCGTCTTATAAATGTCTCATAGCAACGACTGCAGAAAAATTCTAGAAAACTACAGAAAGAGGCCGAATGAAGAGACTTTAAAGGGCTACGAAACAACAGAAGACAGCAGTAAATGATTTCTGTGTTTACATTTACTTTGCATGTGTTGCATTTGAACAGATACTTTTTAGCTGTCGATGAGGAGAAGATTGTCCCGCTGGGCTCAAAATACAGGTAATGATTAAACAATATATAATATTGCATATGATGATTTTTTTCTTCATGTTTGGATTAATACTCTGTTTCTTTCCTTTTTCTGCAGGGGCAATGGATCCTTTTACCCTCCGTACATCAGGTACACAATCATGCAAAAAAAAAAAAAAGCATAGTTTTGCTTTATTTTGGAGGAGCCAAATTTAAAATGTCGTCCTGTTTCCTTCGTCTTCAGCATTGCAGGAAACTTTCCACCCGCCAGCTGCATCTTCAGCGAGGTCATGAACCTGGCGGCCTTTGTGGGTGAGATTACAATGCAGGTGTGTTGACTTCAGCCAGATGTTTGATGTTGTTTATCTTCCATCCACATTCCAGGGTTCGTCATCGCCGCCCTCAGGTACCTGCAGCTGAGGCAGAAGATGGACAAACAGTGGCTGAACGTCGGCAGCCTGGCGGCTTTCTCCGTCGGCTGCTTCGGGATGACGCTCGTGGGAAACTTCCAGGTGACGTGAACACGCGCTACATGCACGCGCGCACGCGGCTATTTGACGGTTGGTTTTGGTTTCAGCTTTTCACCGAGGAGACGATGCACAACTTCGGCACCTTCCTGACGTTCATCCTGGGGACGCTGTTCTGCTGGGTCCAGTCCTACGTCACCCTGAGGGTCAACCTGAGGAACGAGGGGAGGAAGGCCGCCGCCCTCCGCTTCCTGTTGTCCGGCTCCATCACGCTCTGCATGATCCTCTGTATCCTTTGAGGGGATGGGGTTAAAAATTGCATGCTGGGAGTTTTCTTCCGTTCGTTTTAGTGGTGTAGTTTGTCGTGTTGTGTATCCATCGTCGCTCCTCTGCAGGATCTCTCCCTTAACTCTCCGGCGGCAGACTTCTCGCTGATGGCTCAGGGGCTCCACGTGCACGCGGCGCAGTGCCAGTGGGCGCTGGTCATGTTCTTCCTCGCCTTCCTCGCCACCTTCGCCATCGAGTTCCGTCACAGCCACTTCCAGGTGGTGTGCACGGAGCGCTCGGCGTCCCGGCACCAACCGGACGGGCTGTAGGGACCACGGAGACGCAGTTATTGCATCCGAGGCCGTTTCACTGTCACCATGGTTACCGCTTCATGTCGCATGTTTGACACTTTTTATCTACAGGCAGAAAATCAGCCGAGTTCATGTTTTCTCCACACGCAGACGTTCTACAAATCTAAATGCAAATACGATCAGTATGAATGAAAATTCAGCAAAATGTTTTATGGTGTTTCAATCTTCCAGCTCTCGTATCAACTGATTTGTCATTAAAGCAGGTTTTCTAATGAAAACGGCCTCATGTGATTATTAGAGATCGGATCATTCAACTGACATTTTAAACTTAAATTATTTTTAGAAGAGTTTAAAAATGGAGAAAAGTTTTGCTCAAACAAGTACTTAGAACAGAAGACGGATATATTTGAGAAGCAAAGAGCATAAAATTGGATGAAACCAAATACTTGTGTTTCTATTGTTTCTCCTTCACGATTAGATTTTAGATAGACTTTATTTTGTTAAAACCTAAAGGCTTTATTTCCAGAGGAGGTTTTCTTGAAGGAACTCTATATTTACTATGAAGTAGCTTAGCATAAAGAGTATAAACGGGTGGAAACAGCTAGCCTAGCCTCATCGTTACAAGATCCACCTACCAACACCTCAGAAGCCCACTGACTAAGGATCTGTTTATAGAACAGACCACTGGGGATGAGTGAGAAAAGTAATTCAGGATTTGGATCCTTTAAGCGTTTTAGATTTAAAGGCTAAAGTATTAAACATTATTTTAAGACAGTTGATCCCAAACATTTGGACTGAGGGAGAAACAGACTCCTGTGAGACAAGGCATTTATTGGAAGCTTTCATAGCATCGTTTCCGGAATAACACCAATTATGTTTCACAAACACACAAATCCTCATTTTGGCAATTTGTTGCATTAACTTTCCAACACCAACGTTACGAGGATGGCACATTTAAATAGACACCATTAACCGAGCAAACTAGTTAAGACAGTTTGAAATGACAACTTCCTGCCAGCAGCTAGTGCTACTTGCTACAACACTACAACAGGTAAACGGTCGAGTCACTGGATTGAACTTTGCACACCTGCAACACGTGTGTGTGTGTGTGTGTGTGTGTGTGTGTGTGGAAGGAGAAAACACATGGATGGGGAAAAAAAACTGTTTACACAAGTACAACACATCCAGCTGGAAAGTGTCACCAGTGGAGAGGTTTGGGCAAAAGATCACCGGTTTTATTTTTTGCTGTTCTCTTCCCGGCCAATCGAGTGGTTCAGTGAGTGACGGCGCTCCGTGGATCCGCCTCCAGGGGGCGGGCCCGTCCGATGGTTAGCCGTAGCCGCGGCAGCATCTCCTACACTTCAACTGCCACAAGCAAACACATGAAGAGTTGCAAAAAGGAGGGAGGAGGAGGAGGGCAAAAAGAGGGGAAGGTTTGGGGAGATGGAGTCAGAGGCTGCGGCGGCGGCGGCGCCCCCGCCCCCTGCCCCGCGTTAAACACGTCCCGTCACTTCCAGCTGGCTAAAGGAGGTGACCAGGCTGTAGTGGGACCGCTCGTCATCCGTCAGCTCCATGTTCCCGGGCCGGACCACCAACACCACGTTCATGCCGGCTTCTTCCGCCGCCTTCGCCTCTGCAAGTGACAACATCACACGACTCGTTCACATGGAGGCGCCACAGGGCGTCTTCTTAGTGACAAACACACCGGTGCATCTTTACCCCGAGTGATGTCGGTCAGGAAGGTGATCTCCTCGGTCGGACAGCCAATGCGCTCCGCAATCCTCTCGTAGCTTTTACCGTCCACTTTGGCTCCTATACTGGTGTCAAAGTGACCATCTAATAGCTGAAAGGATTTGAATGTCAACATTAACAACACCGCCATGAAAACTGATACAGACAATGAAATGGTTGTCTAATAAATCAGTGTCTTTGTATGGGAACATCTCGACCTCCTGAGGAGCATAAACACTGTACTTACATCTAAAACATCTCCCTCCACCGAGTATCCAAACAGAAGTTTCTGTGCCTCCACGCTTCCAGACGAGTAAATGAACACTTTTAAGCCCTGACTTCTCCACCTTCTGATGGACGGAGTCACGTCCTGGTAGACCCTGTTAGCAACGACACATCACTCAGAAGATGAGCATCAATTTCATATCCTAAAGATAGATCTCAGATATCAAAACGTTGTGATTAGTTAGAGAATGGTCTGTTATTATTTTCACTCAAAGGTTTCAGAATATAAAGAATAATTGGAGGTCAATTATGTTTGACATTTTTCTGACTAAAACTAAAATGAAAGAAATCTGTAACTTTACTATAATAACTTTAGAACACTTGATTGCATGAGGCCTCCTTGGCCAGCAGACGACTCGTGTCTTCTCGTTCTCTTCCTGGAACCTCGTCACGTCATCACTGCGGTTTCAACAGAGCAGCATTTTGAAGCGAGGAAGAGGAGCAGTGTACTTACTCGCCTTTGATTCTCCCAGAAGCATACGCCGCCCGCCACATGTGACCCTGGATCTGTTTGAGTGCTGTGGACTTCCTGTCTGCTGCCATCTGCCACAGCACATTATCCACCACCTCCCTGATGGCCTTCTCCTCGTCCGTGTGCACCGTCTGGTCCACGGTGTGGACGGGGCACGACCGGTGCTGCCTCATGTCCTCTTCGATCTGCAACGTCAAATCAAAGCTCCGGGATCAGGAGAACACCAATATTCCACTTTCTCAAACGAGATTATATTTGTTTAATACTGTTGAAAAAAACTGCTAACTGAATAAGCCACCACATTAAAGAATAAATGATTGATTTGGTTTATCAAGTAAATAAAAGTATGGATAAGTGATTCATAGTGGGAGCACTGTTACAACGACATGCACGTCCCCCCCTCCTTCACGCTCCAGGATGTGGCCCATTAGAGGCCGTTAGCAGGAAGAAATTTGCTCTTGATTCAATCTCGAGAGCTCGACATCCCTATACCTGTTTCTTTAGCAGATGAACATCTTGTTTGCACTCGTCTTCCTCCCAGTGATTGGACAAATACTCCTCCAGATGCTCCCGGATGTACGGAAATAAGATATCCTGAATAACACAAAGTGGGGTCATTAGATGGATCTGGCTCTTTACAGGATGAAAAATAAATAATTCAGAAAAGTCTGATGTTTTAAATAAAGAAATATTGCAATACATTAATAATAACAAGTTGTACTATTAAATTGTACTCACTTAAAAACAAAAAGTAAATAGCATTATATCTACTATTTTAAACTCTAGTGTGTTATATATTGCTTTATTTATATTAAATTATATATATTATAAAGTGTTACGTGTTATATCCCGGTCAGTTGTCTCTTAACCGATTAAAATAGCAATAAAATTATTCACTTGTAAAATTACGACAACTCTTGTATGACGTGAACGCGGCATATGGTCTGTTTTTGTCGGAAAGTGACTAACGTTAATTAAATATTCTGGACACTATAGCTTAATTTTAAACGAGTTTGGTGCGCAAAGCAGTCAATGATGAGCAGGAAAACATATAAGAATATAGTGACACTGTGGTTACATTAAGGCATGACTCTGCTGTGAGTCCACAATGGTCACACAGCATCAAGCTAAAGCTGCTGACAGTCATCTGTTAGCATGGCCGTTACGAGCCGTTGCACACCGCTAGCAACGTAGTTAGCTGAATTAGTACGCTGACGAACTACTGCTCCGTCTAATATAACTTACCTTGACAAATGTGATTGGTGTTGTTGTTCCCTCGATATCCAGCAAGAGTGCACTGGTACAAGCAGGAATTGAAACAGTGGCCATTTTTGTTTAGGAGAGTCTGCAGCTGGTTAGCTGACGTTAGCTTGTAATTAGCAGCACCCACAGCGGTGAAGTAGGTCGGCGCTCCTCGCTGGTTCTCGAACTCCCCGGGACAGGTGAAGCGGAGCACGGCTTATCCGAGCGCTGAGAGACCTACCACCTGGTCCGCTGTTGTTGGTCGCTAGCTAGCTAGCTGTGCTTTCCCATTACAGTCGCAGCTAACACACAACTGACTTGAGTAAAAGAGGGCAGCGAGCACACATGTTCAGACCTGTCAGCTCGCGCTGCCGCCCGACAGGGGCGCTACTGAGCCCGTCTCTGCCGACAACACGCGAAGAAGAAGTGACCGGAAACAGGCGGCGATGAAAACAAAACGACGCTCACAAATCACCCATAATTATTCGTTCATGCAACACAAGTTGTCTGAATTTAGACCAAGATTACAATTTAAGTAAATTAGGAAAACTAGACAGATCGAACCGTGAGTTAACATCTTACGATATATGACACCAACATATTAGCTTACCGCTAGCTGCTAGCAAGCAAACTAGCTTAGCTGCTGCAGACGACACGGCTTAGGCTTTAGCGACAACTTAAAAGGAAAAAAACAATGTCGGACGATTATGAATTCAGCGAAGATCCGACCATGATGCGAATGGAAGAGGACGGGGAAGCGACCAGTGATGACCCGATGTCTGCGGCCGGAGACTGTGGCCTGATGGGGGGCGAGGCCGAAGGGTCCAAAATAGACGCCAGTAAAAACGAGGAGGATGAGGGGTACGGTTCCATTACACAGTCCTTAGTTCCACTAGTTCCACACGTCCAACCCGCGAGCGGTTTACAGCGACAGACCACAACTTGTGATGTAAACACCACAACAAGAGTCTGGGTTTCCAGAGGTGGAATGCTAATGGTTACATTTACTCCATTACTGTACTTAAGTACAACTTTGAGGTATTTGTACTTTAGTATTTCCGTTTCATACAGAATCATACTTCTTCTCCACTACATTTCCGAGGTAAATATTGTACTTTTTGCCTCACTACACTAAACCGACGGCTTTAGTTACTTTTCAGGTTAAAACCAGATGTTGTATGTTTTTTATGAACTGAAGGATTTATGTGTTGATGTTGTATGTTAAACTGAAGGATGAAGCATTCCTCTTCTTTTAATTCTCAGCTTAACAATACTCTTTTAAAATGCGAGAGAAACAACACAAACACGTGATGATCTGAATATGATGCGTGATTCCACTTTATGGTATTTGTAAGTGTCTGAATACCTCTTCCCCGTCTCGTGGTCCATAAACAAATGGTTTTCTCAATCTGCATCGTGAGTTGTGATTTCTTTAAACGTGCTGCTTTGTCAACAGGAAGATGTTTGTTGGAGGGCTCAGCTGGGACACGACCAAGAAGGACCTGAAGGATTACTTTTCCAAGTACGGAGATGTTGTAGACTGCACCCTGAAACTGGACCCCATGACCGGCCGCTCACGGGGCTTCGGCTTCGTGCTCTTCAAAGAACCTGAAAGTGTAGACAAGGTGCAGTGGTAAAACCAGTGTTTACAGGATAAGTCATCTGTAAATGTAGTGCTACATGCACACTGCTGACGAGTATCAGGATATGGGGGCCGAATAGGGAATACGTCTTGTGTTAGTCCTGCATAATGAGAACATACTTTCCTCTAGAGGAGAGGAACAAACTCTGCTGTCACTATTCTCTTAAATCCTTCTTCTCTGACATTTAATATAAAAGCAGGTTAATGATAATTAACATAGTTGAAGACCTGTGAAAGGAAATGGCTTCCCAGCCTGATTCGGTTTGTTATTTACTACAAACTACCACCTACGAGAAGTTGTAAATTACCACCGAAAGTTTATCATTCCATGTGACCTGGTCTGGTCTGTTGTTGTTTTTTTGCAGGTTGTCACACACAAGGAACATAAACTCAACGGAAAGGTCATTGACCCCAAAAAAGCCAAAGCCATGAAGAACAAAGAGCCTGTGAAGAAGATCTTCGTCGGTGGTCTGTCTCCAGACACTCCTGAGGAGAAAGTCCGAGAGTACTTCAGTACCTTTGGAGAGGTATATTTATCTACGTCATTGGCAGCTTCAGCTATAATTTGGAGCTGTGCCTCATTGGTCATTCATTTTGATCCGTGGTTTCTCTTTTAGAACATAATCACAACACATGTCACGTTATTTTCTACCTTTGTTGAGCAGTTGGAGTCAGTTGAACTTCCCATGGAGAACAAAACCAACAAAAGAAGAGGCTTCTGCTTCATCACATTCAAAGAGGAGGAACCAGTTAAAGGGATCATGGAGAAAAAGTACCACAACATTGGACTAAGCAAGGTGCACACTCCTCTTTCCCCCCGTCGAATGAAACACTGAGACGTTTGTATTTGATGACATCACCGCTGGGCGGCTAAAGCTGAACTGTTTTTTTGTTTAGTGTGAAATAAAAGTGGCCATGTCCAAGGAGCAGTACCAGCAGCAGCAGTACTGGGGAGGGAGAGGCGGATACTCGTCCAGGTCGCGAGGAAGAGGCGGCGGTGAGTGGAGTAAACTTTCCTGTGACATTTAATAAAAGAAAGAATATGTTAATAATTCACCTTTTTAGAGAGAATTTATGTGTGACCTGATTCATTTAACCACCTGAATTTCTTAAAACAAGTTCCAATGCCCCCAGATGTTAGTTTAGCACTGGTTGTCATTCTCAGCCCGCAATAAAAGCCCTAAAAATACCTGAAACATGAAGTAAACGTGGCTCCGTTAAGATGAAATGAGCTTCATCTTCTTGTTTTGTTACTTTCAAACGGGTCAAATAGAGGCTGAAGAACACCAGCGATCAACAGTGTGTCCGTTTCACCGCAGGTCCCAATCAGAACTGGAACCAGGGCTACGGCAACTACTGGAATCAAGACTACGGCAACTACGGCAACTATGGCAACTACGGCTACGGTAACCAAGGATACGGAGGCTACGGCAGCTACGGCGGCTACGACTACCCCGGTTACAACAACTACTACGGATACGGCGACTACAACAGTGAGTGGCGGCGACTCGGCCCCTGCGGCTGTCTGCCGTTCGGTCTGAAGTGATTAATACACCTGTAATCAGACGTTGTGCCACGCGTGTAGATCAATCCGGCGGATACGGCAAGTCGCCGCGGCGGGGCGCTCACGCCAACAGCTACAAGCCGTATTAACGGAGGACAAGCGCTCGTCTTCAAGTAGGTACGTGGAGACGGAACTACGGCCTCCTGCTTTGAATTGAACCTAGTTACATTTACTTTGCTGTTTGGTAACGTTATGTTTCATTTTTTTCTCTTGTAAATTCCTTTTTCTCAGCACCGTCACGTGCTTTTCAGTAGTGGTAACATAGAGGCCGCACACTTGTGCCGATTATTTTAACAGCCGGCCTTCTGCTGCCTCTTTTTGCACCTTCTTTCTTTTTGTTTTCCTTCTCTTTTTTTAACTGTAACGTTAACAGGTAAAGTACTACTACAGTAAATGGATGTTCAAGGAAACAGAAAAGGAAGTATGTTGTCTCCTAACTCTGACATACCTTGTTTGTACCTGCCAGCGGAGCTTCCTTGCAGGCCATGAGCTGACTCCCAGATACTCTCAGGGCCGCTCAATGCGGACCGGGTACGAGAAGCATACGCTCTCGAATGCTGCCATTTGGTATGGTCTTCCAACATCCTGTATCCGCATTTCTAAACTAAACAATATGGGACACGTCCAGCTTTGTCATCCTTCTTTCCATTTTTTAATTTCTTTGCAACTGTTTGTAATGTAAAACCTTAAACTATACACATGTAATTGTCGTTTTTTACAGGCCCTTCGCCCACAAGTAATGATTATACACATGAGAAAATAACTATTTGCTTTTCAAAGGATACGTACAGCATTCTCTGGACTTTCCAGTTCCCATTGTTAACATATGCATTCCTAATCGTATCTAAATGCTTGTTCTTTATTGATCTCTTGTAGCCAGTAGTCCATGAGCTAAAACCTGGTGGTATTTGGACGAGCCTGTGTTTGGGGGAGATAAAGTGCTTTACTTTGTCTACATGTACTGCTCTGTTTTGTGTTACTCGCAGCGATGGGAAAGACTCCTCCTTTTGTTAATCCTCCTGTAACACATTTTCCTCTTATAACCTTTTGTAAATCAAGAAGTTTCCAGAAAATTTGCATGTAATGCTTTCTGTAATGTGTACTTTTTTTGACCAATCAAAGGTTTTTCTTCCATTTAGTATTTTGACACTTCAGGATTTCTAGCTTATGGACTAACTTTTTAAAATGTAAAATTAATTCTTCTCAGTTTGTTTTTTTCACATTGGACATTTTAAACACGGGGGACTCCTGTTTGTTTTTGAGTTGACGAGGTCTTCGTCCCCGTCCAGCTGATCCGGGTCTGTTTTGTTCTTTGCAGGTTTCACAGCGATGAGAAAACGCCGCGGAGCGATGGAGTGATGGAGTGATGGAGCGATGGAGTGATGGAGCGATGGAGTGATGGAGCGATGGAGTGATGGATGATGGAGCGATGGAGTGATGGAGTGATGGAGCGATGGAGCGATGCCCGGAGAGGAGACGCTGATGGTGCAAAGATCACTGAGCTGATCGTAAGAAAATGATGAAGAGCGCTACGACCTGCAGTACATTTCCTCTACGTTTACCGGAGTACTCGTGTTGTATCTTGTATCCTGTGTTTTGCGTTTATTTAGATTGCTGCAAAGTTTTAACAGTTTGTGTTTCTCATCCCTTCTGGTTTTGTTTTTTAATTTAATGTTCTCGAATTTGCTTCATCAGTTGGAAAATATCCCATGTATTTATATAATATATATGTATTTATATAATATATATATATATATATAATATATAATATATATATATAATTATATATGAAATGTTAGCAAAAAATCCATACGAAAGCGTTGTTACATTTTACTCTTTATTGTCAGTCATATAATACACATAATTACAGTCACAAACACAGTATATATGTAAATATATACATATATACAGATGCAGGTAATTGGACATCAAGAAATGCAATGTAATAAAAATAAACGTTTGGATTTTGTGATCCTTTTGTGATATGTGAATATTAGATCACATGTTAGTGGAGTGTTCAAGGAAGTATTTCAGCCAAGTTTCTAACAATTTCCATCCTCATCTTCACCTTTTATCGCAGCCTAATCAATAAGCTTGCAGTTGTTACAAAATCACACACCCTTTGGATTTAAATAAATATTTTGCTCTGAAACACGTGTTTGTTTGAGCTGAAATGACCACAGACTCTCCAGTGGGGCTTTTCAATGCTTGATGAACGAGGCCGAGCACCCAGACGACTCTTAGATCACGTTAGTGGCAAAGAGGATGATGAGGATGACAATGATCAGCACAACCACGCCGATGATGATCATCATTTTAATGTTTTTCCACCAGTACTTCCGGGCCACCCGCGTGGACGTCTTTTGGAACGAGTCCGCCTGAGAGGAAGCAAAGAGAAACCAAATGAAACACCAGCGAAGGAGGTGCAGACTCCGCTGGTCTCACGCGTCGAAGCTTTCAGTGTCTCCACTGGAGGTCTGATGGAAAATGTCCTGCCGGTGTGACTTTAGAAAGAAGTGAGACTGCAGGCGGCTGCTCGTGGGTCGGGTCCCTCTGAAGGGTCACCAGATAAATCTGAGGGGCCGTGAGATGATGAGTGGGCCAGAAGAAGCTCTGAAACCAAAATTAGCTTCATTTTGTTCCGTGTTTCTCTGTCTCGTGGCTTTTTGTAAATACGGTGTAATTCCAGCTCTCTGGAACTCAAATGTTTATTCAAATCAGGTGTTCTCACTGTCACAGCCCAACATGCTCAGTATTCAGAAGATGGATGGAACAAGTATCATTTAAACGGAGCCTGTAATGTGTTTTTGTTCATCTTTTGCGCTGCTCGTCCTCAAAAACATTTCTGATACTCAGAAGCATCTTTAGCAGCAACATGTTAAAATAAAAATGAAGGTATTTGGGAAGTTTAGAGGGGAAACGTCTCCCTTTTGTCTCATTGCATCACCAAACTAAACCAATGTCGTCAAGAGTAAAAATGAAATGTTTGATAACTTAAAGCGGTAACTGCGGGTGCTCACAGACGCCTGCAGGTCATCGGTCTTCCCGATCAGGTCGTCCAGCCGCTCCCCGCGCTCCAGCACCTTGCTGATGTTGTCTTTCAGGATGACTTTGACCTCGTTCACCTGACTCTGCACCTGGTCCAGTTTGGCCGCGGAGCCGGGCCCCGGGGCCTGAGGGTGTGCGTCAGCCTGAGGGCACATTTGGGGAAGGAATGAAGTAAACCCGGGCTGGAAGTCAAAGAGCAGCAAGTTCTGTGGCTTTAATAAGAGCAAACATGGCTTCCTGTTACAGCGGCGAGCTGTTTACCTGAGGCTCCGTGTTTACCGTGTTTAACGTGGACGGACGAACCTCTTCGAAAGATACACAAGCAATATGCAACTGACCTAAGCGTATTAAAAGTACACAACCTACCATCACAGACGACAGGACTCATACAGAACAAAACCAAGTCCTCGGCGCGATCGGGTCTCCGGCGGGCTGTGAGAGGTCCGAGCTGAACTAACGTCTGCTGAAGGCTGCACCTCCCCTCGCGCGTTACTCATTAACCGCCTCGCTCTGAGGCCCGTTTCCTCCTGCAGGAGGAACTCGGCTTGGATCAGCGCTTTCACTTCCTGCATCTCATGGGCCGTGTTACCACACACTCACCTGCCGCCTTCGACTTTAAAACCATAAAAGAAGCCTTTTCAGTGCGTGTGTGTGTGTGTGTGTGTGTGTGTGTGTGTGTACCCACCATCAGCTGTCAGAGGAGCAGGCCGGGCGGAGCTGGTGTCTGTGGGCAAAGGGCTGTTCTCTCAGCACACAGGTATTTGCATGGCCATAAAGAGGTGAAGTCACTGCGTTGCTCCACTTCCTCGTCCTGTGTTGTGCAGCTTGTCATTGTTTCAACAAGCGGCTCAGGAAGGCAAACGTGCTGCTTGGAAGCAGAACTCTGCTCTCACTGTGTGACTGAGTTCCGTTGAATGTTAGAAGTAGAATTGTTCAGTCATCACACGATACAGTAACTGTACAGCGGATTATATAGGAAACAAAGTGACCGAAAAAAGAACAGGCTGAGTAACTACAAATATAAACTAAAGATATCTGATAAATGCAGTAAAGAAACAAAAAGTACAACATTTGCCTCTGAGAGGAGTAGAAGTATCGAGCCCTGATTCGTCAGAATTGTACAAATGTTGAGTAAATGTAATTACAAGTCAAGAGATAATGTCACTTTTATATCAATCTCAACTACATATTTATATAAACATGGAATATGCCAGAGGGGACAAATAAAGTGTACTATTAAAATCAACATTGAAAGCAGATGTGAGGAGGATCTGGGTGAGTCACACAAACTCAACATGGGGAGTCCGCTGCGCTTTGGTAAATCCGCGTGCGTACAATCAATAAATCCATTCTGTATTACCTTGGGTAATTAAGGCAATAATAAAGACTGAGCAGTACGTGAGGAGTAATATATTCTCCTTTACAGAGATCATTTTGATCTTGGACTTTGTTTAGTTGAGATGTTTTATGTTTCACAAGGTTTTTAGGTATTAAAAGCCAAACACAAAGAACACAATGGATGAGCATTGCGGTACTACTGCGAGTACTACTGCGTGTACTGCTGCCTGTATTACTGCCTGTACTGCTGCGAGCACTACTGCGTGTACTACTGCATGTACTAGTCCGTGTGCAATGGTAGTACTGCAGTAGTACACTTTACCCCTCTTACAGCGGATGGCCTCAACAACACCATCACATGGGTTCACTGCATGTTACTACTAGTCCCTGCAATAAATCTCACCAAGTTTATGATGGTATTTTTTGGTTCAGTCACACAGTCTCGACTCTGTGGGAAGCAGTTTATTTGACTGTTGTTTAGTGTTTGTGTTAAAAATAACAGCAACACTTTGAGAAATGTGAAGAAATATGAAAGAGGACATAAATCACGACATCTAAAGACCATATGTTCAGTTTGAGCCAATTCCATTTGTTACTTTTCACTCTACAAAATGTTTGACAGCTTCAGTTAGTTACTTTTATAATCCGGATTAATAATACTAAATATAGCCTAACTGTAAATTTTGTTTTCATTTTAGTTTTACTGTTTTTAATTATTAGTTTGTATTTTTTTTTAATATGCAATTGGTCGATTTTTATCATGAATGGGTATTTTACTGTGTACTTTTATAATTTAATTTAATTTACGCGGTGCGTCACCGCCATCTTGAGGCTGCCCGCGCCGCTGCCTGAAGGACCTTCACCCGCAAACGCCTCCTGCTCTCCGCACCGCGTCCAGAGAAACGAGGCGACCGCTGCTTCCGACCCGATGCCAGCAGTCTATTGTCCTTATTAATATTATTATATGATTTATATAAAATATCGACCGTGTTCGTGAACCGATGAAACGTTACGTCAGCTTTTAGTTCAACCGCGAATCCGCCTGTCGTAAATCTGCTTTACTGCCGTTGAGTTAATCTGTGAAAACATGCTGCTAATCTCCGCCGTCCGAGTTAATTATTGTTTCTTGTAACCGGCGTCAGCGAGACCTCAGCGGCTGCGTTCACTCGGACCCGCGACGCCGCCGTTAATCCCGTTAAATTCCGGTTTCCCCGCCGCGCCAGCGAGCCGAAGATGAACCCGAGAGGAGGCCCCGGAGGCGGGAAGACTTTCCTCTTCACCTCCGAGTCCGTGGGAGAAGGACACTCCGGTACTACTGCGAGTACTACTGCGAGTACTACTGCGTGTACTGCTGCCTGTATTACTGCCTGTACTGCTGCGAGCACTACTGCGTGTACTAGTCCGTGTACAATGGTAGTACTGCAGTAGTACACTTTACCCCTCGTATTGTTGATCACGTGGAGGTGCTTTTCATAAGTATTTCTATTTGATGCCACTTTATACTTTTACGTTTTACGTTTAATTTGACTGCTTTATTTTCTCTCATTTCACCTGAAATATGCATCATAGATTAAACCACACAGAAGTATATAAAGTAGTTAAATTAAACTCCACATTTACCATCTGAAACATCCAAGTGAGCAGGAATGACTGTGTTACAATAATGTCACGTTTTGTATTCTAAAATAAGCCTTTCTTTTACTTTACTTTGGTTTGTACACACTTGTATTCATATACTTCTCTCCGCACTTTACTATAATATACTCGTAGAATAGAATAGTTATATATTACAATACCAGATTGTAATTATCAATGAATTAATGTGTTTGTCACTTTGATGTTACAGCTGCTAAATGTGGAGATAATCTTCATACACTAGTTTACTTTACTATGATCATTTATTAGCTTTATATTGGTATTAATAATCTTAATATATGTTGTCAAACAGATGAACAAAGCTTTAGTTGGAGAATAAAGTAACAGATAGTGGAAATACTCCAAGAGAGAACATTACTTTATTACCTTTCATATGAAAGTTATTTCTTTTATGAGTTATTAAACTAAAATTCAATTTATCTGACTTTGTGCGCACAGATAAGATGTGCGATCAGATCAGCGACGCTGTGCTCGATGCGTACCTGAGCCAAGACCCCGACTCCAAAGTGGCCTGTGGTGAGTTGTCTGTCTATACAATGAAACGTTAATGAACAACTCTTTATCTTGAAGCGCCCAACTGATAATAAAATCCTTTAGAATGAAAGCAATGCAGCACATTCCCAGCCATTGTTTCTGATAACCTGACCACATGTTGGAATTCTAAATAGTTGCATACAAGTAAAAACAGAACCTCGATGTGTTGATCCAGAATGTGTGACGAAGACGGGCATGGTCTTACTGGTCGGAGAGGTGACGTCCAAGGCCGTCGTGGACCTCCAGGCGGTGGTCCGAGACACCGTCAAGAAGATCGGCTACGACGACTCTGCGAAAGGTGAGGAGACTCTTACCTGACGGCTCCTCTTTCCTCAAAGGTTTCAGCGACTTGAGTCCCAACTGTGCAATCTGCAGGCTTCGACTATAAGACCTGCAACGTGCTGGTGGCGCTGGAGCCGCAGTGTGAGGAGATATCGGACTGCGTGTTCGAAGGAAGGGACCAGGAGGACATCGGTGCCGGAGACCAGGTTCAGTAGTTCACCTCCGGACCTCGACTTTGTCCAAAGTATCCAAAGAGTCAACTTTTTCGTGACGTCTCAGACTTTATTCCCCAGGGGTTGATGTTCGGCTACGCCACCGACGAGACCGAGGAGTGCATGCCGCTCACCATCCTCCTGGCCCACAAGCTCAACTACCGCATCAGGGAGCTGTCGCTCAGCGGAGAGTGTCCTTGGATACGACCCGACTCCAAATCACAAGTGAGCACCGACCCCGTTTGACTGGCCTCTCCAGCGCGTCTTTAATGTCTGCCGCATACCTGAGGCATGGAGAGCGCGAGAGGAGTAAGAAGAGCTTCCCCCTGCAGGTCACCGTGGAGTACCGAGACGACTCGGGGGCCATGGAGCCCCTGCGGGTCCACACGGTGGTCATCTCCGTGCAGCACATCCCCGACATCACCCTGGAGGAGATCCGGCGCAGCCTGATGGAGAAGGTGGTGAAGGTCGTCATTCCCGCCAAGTACCTGGACGACAGGACCATCTACCATCTGCTGCCGAGTGGGAAGTTCCTCTTGGGGGGCCCGCAGGTGAGCGAGGTGGACAACACGTGGACGCGAGGGCGGGGGGGTTGAAGCAGCGGCTGATGTTGTCGTTGTGTCTTCAGAGTGACGCCGGGCTCACGGGCCGTAAAATCATCGTGGACACGTACGGAGGATGGGGGGGGCACGGAGGCGGGGCTTTCTCCGGGAAAGACTACTCCAAAGTGGATCGGTCGGGGGCGTACGCCGCGCGGTGGGTCGCCAAGTCTTTGGTGAAAGCCGGCCTGTGCAGGAGGGTCCTGGTCCAGGTGAGGGGGGGGTCACACGCGTTAGTAGATTGATCCAGATGATTCCTTGTTGTTTCATAATAAAATTGTTAAATGGAGGGATTTGTTCCCCTCAAAACATAAAAGGCTTTTATTTTAAGTTGTGAGTTCGTAGAATTCATCCATCAAGAATAACCACAAAGAAAAGATCATCTTTCAAACGATGGTGTTGTTTATTGATGAAGGTCATTTTGAGGATCAGGATTAAACTCTCACTTGTTTGGAACTTTAAACTGTTTAAACTTCAAACAGTAACTTGTTGATGTTTTCTAAAGTTACATTCGAAAGCATTTGGAAGCAGAACTGTTATTAATTGTTAAATGAAATGAATGATTCTGCTGCGGCTGCTTCTCACAGACACGTTGCGTTGCTTCAGCTCCTGTTGCTCCTCCGTCGTATCCACAGATCTCTTACGCCATCAGCGTGAGCCAGCCGCTCTCCATCTCCGTGTTCCACTACGGCTCGTCGGACCGCCACGAGGACGAGCTGCTGCAGATCGTACAGAAGAACTTTGACCTGAGGCCCGGGGTCATCGTGAAGTACGTCTGCCACCGTGTCACGATCACACAATCATGTTCCCGAGGGGGGGGGGGGATCTAAGCGTGTACTAAGCGTGACCTTTCGTCCCACAGGGAGCTGGGTTTGAAGAGGCCGATCTACCAAGCCACCGCCTGCTACGGACACTTTGGCAGAGAGGAGTTCCCCTGGGAAAAACCAAAGCCTCTGGTGTTTTGATGTTTTTTGGGGGGCCGGGGGGGTCGATCTCTTTCCAGTCGCGTCCTTCTGACAATCAAACAGACAAGTGGGATCCTGAAAACAGAAAGTCTTCTTCTCTCTGACCTCGAGCTGTCGACGCTGTGGCCTTTGTTGAAGAATTCATTTTGATTTTAACAAAATGATTTATGCTGTTTTTCCTGTACGAGAAACTGTAGCTTAAGAAATTGATACAATGAATGTGTTTTTCTTTCTTTTGAATATGTTGTAAGATTCGTACGGTACTGTCGAATGTATAAAAAAAAGAAATCATGTATTTTGGTAATAATATCTGGTGATTAAAACGCTGCATAAAACCTCTTGAGTACTTTACTTAATTTTTAATTTGAAGTACTTTTTGAAGTACTTTTTCTTTCGACTATAAAAAGCGAGAAAATTATGATTCAGAGAATCTTGTGTAAATATTCAGTCAACGTGCCATGGTGGTGTGGTGGTAGTAAGGTGGTGTGGTATAACGTGTCGTGGTGGTAGTAAGGTGGTGTGGTATAACGTGTCATGGTGGTATGGTGGTAGTAAGGTGGTGTGGTATAACGTGTCATGGTGGTATGGTGGTAGTAAGGTGGTGTGGTATAACGTGTCGTGGTGGTAGTAAGGTGGTGTGGTATAACGTGTCGTGGTGGTAGTAAGGTGGTGTGGTATAACGTGTCATGGTGGTGTGGTATTAAACCAATCTAGTCTGCCGTTATTTGTGCTGTTTTACGGTAATTTGGGTTAATGTTGCCACGGTGACGCGGCCCATAATATCACAAGGCGACTTCAGTAGGATATTTACTGCAGAATGAAACCTTCAAATTGCACCTGAAGCACCGAGATCAGTAGTTTGTGTTGTTTTGAAAGATTTGAAGTTAAAATCAGCTCAAAAAGAATTACACATATTTTCCTTTTTCCCCTTGTTTTTATTAGCATGAATGCAAATGAAACACACACATAAGGACACATTTATCTCACATGGGGGCAGATGAGCATTTTATAAAACGTCTTCTTGAAGATATAAAGATGAAGATTAAAGCCTAATTAGGAGCCGATATCTAAACGATGATCTATTGATTGAAGGAGCACAGCAGCATTAAGCTGAGCTCCTTCACACGTCCACCTGAGTCCCAGAGAGCTGTGGACCCCCCAGAGTCCAGACCAGCTCAGGTACCCCTCACCTGCTCCACCTGCATCTACACCCACATGAACCACCATCAGCTGTGTGACAGAGAGGAAGGTTCTCCACCAGGAGGAGACTCTCCCTCCTACAGAGAACACAGAGACACTGAGGAACCAGAACCGGGCCAGAACCCAAACATAAACCCAAACCCAGGATAAAGAGGTTCAGTGAATGTGGTGCTGAAGGTGTGGAGGTGGATCAGTGTGTCAGATGAGACTCTGTAGAAGGACAGAGAGCCAGCAGGACAGTCCACATACACTGCTACTCTACCAGAGGAGATGGAGGAGGAGGAGGAGGAGGAGGAGGTGATGTCTGTTTCTGTCTTATTGTGACGGACAGAGTAACCTCTATCAGAGCATCTCAGACTCCAGGACTGATCATTGTCTCTAAACGAACTGTCCCAGTCTCCTTTCCTCTTGATTCCTCTGTAACTCACTGATACATCAACTGCTCCTCTCCACTCGACCTCCCAGTAACAGCGACCAGTCAGACCAGTTCTACACAGCAGCTGATGATAGATGTCAAATCTGTCTGGATGATCAGGATGTGATTGATCCTCCTTCACACATGTCACCTTCCTGTTGTTGTCAGACAGTTTGAGTTTCCTGTTTACTGTGTTTGTGTCGATTGTGAGTTCACAGGAATCTGATGAGAGAACAAGACACAAAACAGCTGCAGTTATTAATCATGTGTTCATCTACTGACACGTTGATGATGACATCACAGAGGTGAATGAGTGATGTCACAGTGTGAAGATGGTTGAATCTTCATGAATCAAAGCACACTTACACCTCCACGGACCTGGTGTCAACCATCGGACTCCATCGGGCTCCACCCTGAAAGGAGGAGGGGGGTCAGAGCAGCATGGAGACATGGACATTACATCACTCTCACACACAGCTTTGTCCTTCATGTCCACATGGAGCACCTCTTCTTCTTCTACCACTACTTACAGACGACCACAGACTGTCAGTCAGGCGTCACACAGCGACGAGGTGCTGGAATATATTCATGGAATAAAGTAGATAAATGTGGAATAAATAAACGGACCTGTCACTGTACTTTCACCAGATGGGAATTAAAATGTGAGAAATGACGTCGTGCTGCAGATGAAGCTTCATGGGACGTGTGCAAAGGAACATTAACATTAAACCGTTTAATAAGCAAATATTCACTAAATATAGAAATAAAGACCATTCAGTATTTACAATGTTTCACAATGAACAAACAACACAAACAAAGAGAAGAAACGCACTCGTTAGTTTATTGGATTCACTGTTTGGTTTTTCACTCATTCACTTCCGTCCCGTTCTGCACTTTTACTGTGATATTACAGAACGTCCTCATGTAAATACACTCAAGCGTCTGCAAACGGGTCGGCGTGTGGATTCAAGCCAAAGGTGTGATCATTGAATGTACTGTAGTATTCAGTGAACAGGGTCAGTCAGGTCACAGGCTGCTGATCATAATAGTACTATTATAATATAGTACTTTGTGTTCTCAGCGTGTCGAGGTGCAGAGCTACTAACGATTGTCACGTCATCAGCTGTTGTGTCAACACGCCTCATATGGTTTACAGGAGTAATCACATGATGTAGAGACAATGTCTTCATTAGAGTCAAAGGGACACAAGGACTGTTCATTGATGTTCACCCTCCAACACTGATGGACATTCAAGTAAAGGTAAGAAATACAACTTTAATATCACTTGTGATCATTTCAGCATTGATACAGTGTGATATCAGCTTTGTCTTCATTTGGATTTGATCTCGATTCCAATTTAAAGAGCCGCTCTGATTTTAATGTGACGTTCTGAAAAGGTTGAATAGATTTGATCTCCAGTGGTGGAACTAGATTGTATTTAAATGTCAGATAAGTGGGTTATTATTGCTTCAGGCTTTGAGTTAAGGTCCATCGTCACTACTAGTTAAAGTTTGAATGGTATTCAACGTTTAAACATAAGATTGATTATTGATTATCATTGTGACTTTAGACTTTTACTTTCTTAACTTGAACTTCATTTTGCTTTTATGGATTTTCATTAGACGTTTATTTTAGTTTCCTCTTCTCTCTCCTGCGGCAGCGTTTACACCCTAAAAGTTTCATCTCAGCTTTGTGATTCTAACATTGAGTTGGATTGATTTTTAATTTGCTGAAAGCCGTAACTAGTTTGAGATGATCTGCGGTTTAGTTTGATTTGTACTGACGGCGTTCTGATCCGTGTTGTAGTTGTTATGTGACTCAGTGGTTTGATGGACTGGTTCCCTTTCAGGTCCACTGCTTTACTTTCCATTGCTGAGTTCACTTTGTTGTTTGGTGTTTTGCAGGTTTCATTAGTTTGACTTTACATCATTAGTCGTCTCCTCACAGTCAGTGACAGAGTAGCTCCTAAAGGACAGGAGGACATCTCAGGGGGGTTTAGATGCACCAGGTTGCATCATGGTCGTGTTTACGACTCAGGACCTGCTGAGTAGCACCAGAGAGAAGATGGAGGAGCAGACGGAGGCCAAAGGAAGAGAAGCAGTGGACGGACTTGAGAGCACGATGAGGAAACAGCTGAAGACACTTGTGAACATCAAGACGTCTGCAGCAGTAAACAAAGGACAGAGACAGGAGACAGACAAGGCCCGATACCCCGTCCCCCAAAGGCCCCAGATCCAGCAGGTAGGAACCGTTCAGTGGGACATCAGCACCCAGCAGCAGAGGACGAGGGACAATCGAGGGAGGACAGGTGGACCTTATATATGTGGACAGGAGGGACATTGGTGCAGAGAGAGTCCCAGGAGACACGCGACTAAACGCTCCTCCACGGCTGAAGGCTCCACCCACCTCCACTTGACCTCCACCCACCTCCACCTCACCTCCACCTCATCTCCACCCACCTCACCTCCACCCACCTCACGTCCCTCCACCTCACCTCCACCCACCTCCACCTCATCTCACCTCCACCTCACCTCCACCTCCACCTCACCTCCACCCCCCTCACGCAACCCCCACAGCAGACGAGGCCCAAACAGCAACTGGTGCCACGTGGCCCCCCACTGGCTCCCAGCAGCTCAGATAAGCAGCCCCAGTCTCCCCAGTTTACGACTCACGTTGCAGAAGAAGAAGAGAGAATAAAGATTATAAACGGCTGAGATTTAAAAACAGAGATTGATTCACTAAAAGAGGGAAAGTGTCATTAAAATGTTGTGAAGGATTTAAATGAGGAATGAAGGTGATGAGAAATGAGGACAGTCGTCGGACATAGTGTCAGTTTTTGTATTGATGTTGTCGTGTTTTAGTCTCTAAGTTCTAACCTGAGTGTAAAGTGCACGATACACTTGATACACAATCTGGATGATGGAAGCAAATGTCTGATCAAAGGAACATTGATAGCAGCAGTACATGAAATATGGACACTTTGTCACAGACGCTTCAACGCGTCCACACTTACATTTCAATACGCTGAACATGAGAGAAAAAGTCTGTCAGACAATCGCAGAGCGACGGAATGTGGAAGCATTTAAAAATATCTACTTACAGGAAAGTTGTAGACTGTTTGAGTTGCTTTTAATGATTGTTTGATGTGTGAAGACGTTGAAGAACAGAAGTTGAGGGTGTTGAATGAGTCCAATCATTAGCAAGGTACTAAACTAAGCAGCATGAGACACATTCACAGGGGACATCTGGACAGACAGGAAGAGGAGTTCATCCTTTCATAGAATTATGCTTATTCAGATAACTAAAAGCATTTATCAGAATAAGAAGAATTGGTTTCTGAAGGCTAGAAGTTCTTGTATCTGCTGTTTCTATTTCAAGTAAAGCTACACAACAACACGGAGAGATTGTGTCCGTTTGAGAAGGTAAACTGTGAAGGACACGGTCTCATCCATTGACCCTGTGATTGGTCTGCTAACTACGTCCTTTACGGAGTCTCACATCTCCGTTTTCACAGCACAATACGGCCGTTATTAAAAGGAAGAATGTTTACGAGAGAACGGATCAGATTGAAGAGCTTTTGTGGGAAGAAATGCGTAAATATGAGCGCTTGTACAAGCCGTCATTGGCGGACTATGAGGACGCCGGATGGCCTCTGATTCATGGAGGGAGATCTCCACAAACGACGGGAACAAAGTCTTGGAAGAAAATACGGGACAAATG